GTGAATGGAGAATTACACTTTCATCTATCAAATCAAATGAATGTATTCTTGTAACCGAATTTATCAATCAACATAATAACGACCTTTTTTTCGGAATTTTATAATTCTGAAGGATGCAGATCACGTATTGACAACAACATAGAGATGGGAGTAATTCCAACTGAGGATTCTATACAAGAAGTTCTTATGAGTTGCGATGCACTGCAAGAAAGCTATAATAATCCTTTTGCATACCTTTTGAAAAAGTTCTATAATGATAATCGTTTAATTGTAGATAACACTGGACATCCTATAACATTGTATCCTTTATTAGTTTTTGTATAATATGATTCATATAAAACTTAAAACTTTTATTTTTAACATTAATGGATCCAAAGCTCAAATTTTTCACCAATTTTCTGAAGCTTCAATATTTAAAAAGAATCAATTGGAATTGTTTGTTGAATGGGTCTCTTTTCGATGTTAATTTGTTATTTGAGCATTTATGGATGAAGGTCTTAATTCAGCTTTAACGATTTTTCAAATTTATGGATTCCTCTAAAAAAAACTGCCAATATTGAGAAAGATATTAATTCCTATTTACAGAAAGCATATCCATTATCTGCTAATAAAAGCGGCGTACTTCGATGATCAAATCAAACGCAGTCGCCAAGATGCTATAGATGAAGTTTCAAGAGATCTTGTCGATTGTTCACCGTTTTTTATGTCGAAACGTCAGAATTGTTTTAAATTTTTATTATTTCAGATTTCCTTCACAGAACAAAATTCAGAATTAAATGTAAAAAAAACCAATTAACAAAGATGGAAGGAACTTCAGGGAAAGAAAATGATGGATATGTAATGTCAACGGCAGCAAAAGAATTGTTTGATGATTGGGTTATAGATCAAAGTCTCGAAGAATATGATTATAGATTCCTTGAAGATATTATGGAAACATCAAAAGCTTCAATAAATAATTTAGAGAAGGAACAAGAGGAAGAATTCTTAATGAAACTTCCATAAAGAATATCGAAGGATATGAATCTACAAATATCATGGATAATGAGATTTCGAATAGATCTGAATCTTCACGGATAGCATTGCAACCTGCATTAAATATTTCTGAAGGAGGTTTAATCAAATATTGGAAAAACCAAAAAAGAAAAAACGAAGATCTGGTTTCCGATGATTTTTTTTCATATTTATCATGACTGAAAAAATTGAAACTTACTAACAATGCTTGAAAACTTCTAACAATTCTGCTCTTATTAATAAACCGTACATATTAATATTAAAAAGTGAATATCATCAATTTGGTAAGTATAAAACAAAACAAATTTATTATTTGATTTATGACAAATATACAAATTAATTTTTTAATGTCAAATCAAGATAACCAATAAGATAAAATTTTATTAAACTGTATTAATGTGAGTCAATACAATAATCCAAAATTATCATTTTTTTCTTGCTTAATTATAAATATTTCATTAAATTTAGTTATAAGATATAAGATAATATTTATTATAAACCAATCAATAAACATGAATTACATATTCATCTATTATAAAATTTAAATATATTAAGTATCTATAAACAATAACAATATTTGATTACGTCTAGACCACTTCCTTTGTTCAAATACGTATGGTGGCTTTCGATAATGGCAGAACTCCCGTTCATCCCGATCGCGTTTTGTGACTTGTCGAATTGTTTTAATTCTTTTCCCCCATTTTTTCTCGCCTCCCTCCTAATCATGATTCTGTTTATTTGTTTGGGGTTTAATGGTCTATTAGGAGGGGACATTCACGAATTTAAAGTTATTGATCGATGTCTATTGTGTATTTAAAAGAAAAAAGTTGAGAGTGAGTTAGATTTGGATGCGTAGGAAAAAATATAATTTTAAGTAAAAAATTTTTATCGACTTTTACTTACCGTCATTTAATAAATATTCAGTTGAGAAATGAAGGGGGGGGTTAGAATTTTTTTTTACCCAGATTTTATACATTTAAGGATTATATTAATCGAGTGATTTTAAATTTATTATCGGGGAATGGGTGAGTGTTGATAAAAGAGACCAAATTGTAAAAAAAATTTTTTAAAGTTGAAAGAAAAAAATTTTCAATTTGGAGGTTATTATTTATAATAAAATTATTAACGTATTAAACAAACCAATGAAATGGTTTGATTTTTAAACATGTTTTGAGTTATAAACTTGGCCTTCGCTGATTGGTCTGTAATGGATGTTCTTATGTTTCACACTGTAGGGGGCGGTTCTTACCCAAGTAAGGAATCGATTCATAAGATGTTTGTCGATCAGAGGAATCACACCAATCACCTCCCACACAAGAAAATAAATTGACTTCATTTTGTAGGTCACTTAGTACCCTAAACGTTTTTTATTTGTAATACATTGAGCCTGATCCTAGCCGAAAGCGCTAAAGCAAGGGACCACTAAAAATAAATTACATGATGCGGAACTTGGTCTATGATACAAGCAACCTTAGTCTGTTCTATCCACCACTCAATAGCCCACTATATTCATTATTTTCATCCTGACCTCCGTTTCATCGGTCGTGACGCTAACGATAACCTTGAAAGGGAAACTATGTGTTAGTTACAAGCTCTGAAGACGTTATCTTGCAAATGCTTAGCCTAAACCGAAAGTAAATACTTACCCTTAATTGTCTAATGTCTTGTCCAGTGTTTCACTAAGTAACTTTTATTTCACTGGCACTTTTTCACACAGAGATGTGCAGTGAGTATGCCCGTTATACAGTATTTGCTTATTTATATAGTTGCAATATTCGTATTTACGGATTGTAGTGAATATATATGCGATTCGCACGTCACACAGCCCCTATCCTTCGACAAGAATTTCTCCGATATCGTTCTCTTAGTTCCTATTAAGACCTCTAATGCAGACTGCGCATTTCAGGTGATTGATCTCACATGATTGTCTGACGATCATTCGCAAATTTTTTTTAGTTATAAAGGAACTTTTTTTCTGTTACCCGTTTATCTTTTTCCAGGCTGGTGATCACTGCTCTGGACTAGTTAGATCGGTAGAGTATCACCAATCTGTTTGATTAACTAGTCTGTTTCCCATTTGCCCTGAATCTAATAAAATGAGTGTCACAACGGAAGGATCGGAAGAAATATCAATTCAAGTGACCCGGGAGACCAGACAAGCCTTTAAAATTAAGCAGGTATTTAAGTAATGTCTAAAACTATTTAAGAACAATAGCAAGAAGTATGGCTAACGACTACGTGACGATAGATCTTCACGAATATTAATGAATCATTAACGCGAAAGCGAGATCAAAACATTGTCAAGATCCATATTCCCGGACTAGATAAAGTTGATAAGTATGTACGTGAAGCTATACACAATGAATACAACGCTCAAATAATCGATAACGATATATTTATCAGAGTAAGTTCTATTCCGAGTTACATTTACATTTATTATTAAATCTGACCAATTTTATATTTAGTATGACGGAGGGAATAAAGAAAATATCCATTGTGAACTTAGGAATTCGGCTAGGACACATAATCCAATTTGGTATGCGACACCTAATATGATATGCGTGGCTGGAGGTAATGATTATCGACCCGATGTCGGCGTATGGTTTCAAAGGCCAACGTTTCTTCAAAGGCAAAATCCAATTGTACATCAACGTCCTCCACCGAACGTTTGGATAGAGGTAAACTAAATTCTTGCAGGGAAAAATTGTAAATCGCTTTGCTTATCAGGTTTAAATCCTTGCAGGTTTTTTTCAACGAAGATCCAGACCGTCAAAATGTGTTAGATAGAATTGCTCGGGTTCAGCAAATTCATGTTATTGAATTTGTCAGAATCGCTCTTCCTCAATTGTCTGGCCCCTACCGTCAGAATCCTTTTCCTGCGGGAGCCTCTACTCATGTAATTCCAGAAAATGATCAAAATGCTAGACCTAGTCGAGCTCCGTACCTTATATATTGGGATGTTAATGACACTCCGGTTTACTATAGAATAAACTGGAACGAAAATTTGACTCTTAGGTGCGGATGGGTTCTTCAATTGAACCTTTTGTGCTTAATGAACTTACTTAATAGTTAGATGAAGTTGGCTATTATACCGATATGAATTAAATGATTTAATGCCTTCCTTACCAATATTGTAGAAATTTTATTTGCATAGACCCTATAAATAATATGTATAAGGAAAGTATACGGATATAATACGTTTAAAAAACGTATAAAAAACGTAGACAAACA